TCAAATATATATATATATATATATATATATATATATATATATATATATGCCATCAACCATGGCGGCACCTCCCAAAGCTGTAAGTTATCCCGAGGAGGCAGGCTGTCCGCCGCCCCGGCAGCCATTTTGTCTAGCCTGCGCAGACGCCTGCATGAGGTGGTACCAAGGCACTGGCTGAGGGCCGGCAGACCGCGGCCGCTGCCAAGGCTGACCTTGGCCTTAGCTCAACTATCCGCTGAAAAATCTGCGGCTGTATTTGGGGCATAAGCCTGATCCCTAATTCTTTCTTTTGTTGGGACTCTGTCTGACCTGGAGCTCTTTCTGAAAATGCCCAAAGCAACCTCTAGCTCTGTGCATTTCTTTCTCCCTGTGCCTTGCTTTCTGTGTCGGAATAACTTATTTTTAACTGAATTTTCTGTAAGGCAGCCATCATCGATAATCCCTGAGTGCAAGCTAGGTCCATATCTGAAAAATTCTTAATGAACTCACCATATCAGTCCTCCTCCTGTGAGGCCTTAGCGTGGTCTGGCATGCATTACCAACATTATCATAGGCTAGCTATTTTATAATCAAAGTTCCCAACATCTGTGTCTCTAACATTTTTGTAAAATTTCATATAGGCCTAGAAATCAATTCTCAATTAACTCCCTAGGTCCCTGCCTGGTCTCTATAACAAATATCCTCCCCCTGACAGGCAGGCCTTGGTTATCCGCTTTTAATTTCCTAGGGGTGAGGCTTCTATAGTAATATTTCCTATCAGCCTCTGTTGGTCCATACTGGACATAAGCCATTATTAGTTCCTAGAGCTGTTCGAATGGTATTGGCACCTGTATCCTGCTATGTTCCCCTGAGCCATTCTCTCTGATCCAAGAAACCTGTAAATTTTTTATCGCCTGTAAGCAATTTTGTTACAATTTTTAAGTCTCTTAGCTTTTGTTGAATTTTACCATTGAGTATTTGCCTTTCTGTATTTCCAGCTTAAAATGAAGGAAGGAGGTGAAAGCTCTCCATTTTGGTACTTATTAACTCTCTCTCCCTGCTCATCCCAATCATTTGTCCTGTATATTCTTTACTATCTAGCCACCTCTAAGTAGGCACGGATTTTTCTGTTCCCCATTACATTCCTAGATATCTCCTGAGGGCCTGCGTGTATGCGAGGCCGCACTAGTCTTCCTAAGCCCCTGTGTAACTTAAAATGCTGCATCTTGGCGGTGGCTTCTGTAAGCGGGAAGGATCCCTTTAAAACTTTTGAACTCTGAAATCTCCTGTACTTAAGTAGTCTAAGATTTTATCATCTGTTTCTGGTTTGGAGTTTGAACTAATTTTTGACAGGGTAATTTTTAAGGTTTTTAAGAGAATGAGGCTCAAGGCCCGTAACTAAAAGTCTGTGAGGGAACTGCCTCAGCTC